AAGATAATAACTAATAGGTCTACAGCAAAAAAGATTGTAAACTTTTAGGACACTGCAGATATTTTATCTTGTATTACTAGTGAACTATACGTTGTATCCCGGTGCACGGGAACTGAACTCCACCCTTTGTGAAATGTAATGTATGTTTTTTAATTTTTCTTTTATTCCCAAATGAATAGAATAGAGATTTGAAACAAACTGCATCTCTACAACGTTGTGTGTTTTGATTTAAAATGCTTCAACCATCGCTACCAATCATCAACTTATATTTAACAGCTCTTAAAAGATTATTGAGTTTTATAGTCGGGATTCAGGAAATGTTTTAATTAATTGGCCTGCATACGCATGCATTATATTCTATCAATTGAGGGGGTCCTAATAAATGCAGAACATGGTGCTTAATGCCAGTCGGTTTTCCATATATTTGTCACACACAATAAAAACATAACAAATTTTCATGAATAGTCATAGCCCTTACGCTCTAACCCTCGTAAACATGAATAAACATGTTTTATTCAACAATATTTACGACCTCTTTCATGTTTTGTGGGCACGAACAATACAAACAGTGGTTCATGACGCGGTCACAGTCACGAGGACTGTTGCTGAAAATGATCATTTTGGTGCAAAAGTATGCCCTATATCCATCAAAACAAGGGTTCTGAATGCAAAGTTTAGTCATCCTAATTCAATTTCATGTACAATTTTGTGCACATTACTTGATTCCAATCAACAATTTTGACAACAATTTAGAACGATGAAACCACAGTACTATCTTCGCAAAAAACATTAAAACTGTGATTATGTTTGTCCCAGGAAAAGCGGCACATAAATACTGTGGCGAATCCCGTCCGGGTCAAGTTTGACTCGGTACTGCACAGGCGAGCGGCAGCCCTACAGCACTGTGGGGGAGGTCGTTTGGCAACCATATATCGCCGCGCGCAACACTTTTTCCCGGGGACCCTATGGAGCGGAGATAAATACCAGGCAGAGCAGCGCAGGAACCCAATAATCTGACAAAGAGAGATCACTCAAGCGCCGCGGGGTTTTCCCTTTATTATAACTAAGACGCCTTAATCACTTCAGTTAAGTTGCAGATTCCTTAAGGGATTGCTGTTCCTTAAGGTATAGCCTTGAGGTTCCTTAAGGGTTTCCTGTATCCTTAAGGGATATAATCGAGTTTCCTACTGAGCCTTAGAATTACTGATAGAGAGGTTTATTACTGAAGGCACTTAATAGAAATTATTACTGAATGTGATAACTAGTGGGGAGGTTCAACAATATCGGTCCTGAACTGTGCTCGTCACTAACTTTATCAAATACGTCAGCTTGACATACCCCGCACTATGAGCTGCTGCAACTAGATTCGGCAAACCGCCGCCGCCACGGACTCTCTGACACGGCTCCAACAGTCCCGCTGTCTCGGACACTCCGATCAGCCTCTCTCACGCTGCTCTGGGATCCGGCGGTCGGTCGCTATACCGCTCCGCCTCGCTGCTACCAGCTCCCACTACACACCAACAGCAACGCTGACGCACACAAGCCTAGCGCCCTACAACAACTCTCTTAGAGCTCCGCCGTCACACGTCTCTTCAGTCCGCTAGCTCCACAGCCACTCCCGCCACGTACACACACGAGGCACAGCGCGCGCAAACAGCTCAAGGTCACCTAAGCAGCCCACTGCGCATGCTCAGCAAGTATGGCACGCCTCAGCGCTATGACGCGCGAAAGCTACAAGCACTCAGGCCAATTTCGTTACACAGCCCCAACCTTAAGTTCGGACCGTCCCGGTCCGTTAAACTGAAAAACAACCAAAACGAAATTAACTGAGGTGCCATCTTATACAATGAAAATATAGAGTTCACTTATACACAAATAAGAACCTTTACCTTTAAGGCTACTGTGGTCTCCTTAAGGGAAATTTAAAGAAAGGTAAGATTCTGAGGTTCCTTAAGGGAGCTCCTTAAGGGAGTGTCCAAAACAATCACACCTGATACGGCTTTATCAAAAATAGACAAGGATCCACTTTCTCCTTCAGGGAGTTTATACACATGAAATACAATCACAACATACCTCAAGGACGTCTATATAATCAAAAGTAATTACCCTGCTCCTTGAGGGAGTTTACACAAAGATCATCAATAAATACAGTATTCCTTAAGGGAATGCGGTAGCTAATGAAGGCAAGATCGGTCTCTTTTTTAACAAATATACTCTCTTATAAAACTTTTACACTGTTCCAAAACTAAGTTAGAAACAAGTAATGCTTTAAGTTAAAAACAACAATGTAAACCTTAAGAAAACCTAGACTCTACTTGAGGATGAAACCGGCCGTAAACTCCACATCGTAGGTCCTCTCTACGACCTCTTCAGATACCTTCAACCCATTCTGAAACTGGCTCCTGGTGCTGACCTCCTTCACTTGACGAACATTCCCGGCCATCATCACTTCCAGATCAGCAGTATCGATCGGAGTCGCCCGTCGCCACCCAGGGTTGCCACTACTGACCCTGCATACTCTGGCTCGTGGTGGTTCCTCCAGTGCTGACGTCTTGGCCTGCCCGTGCTGAATATCTGTGGCAGGTGGAAAGGTGCGTTTCCGAAGATCCCCCTCCTGATACCGTAGAGAGCTTCCCTGAAGTGCTCGCCCAAGGTTAACAGAAATAGAGGCGTCGTCGTTGAGGTCTGTTTCCTCCCCGTCGCTAGCTTCTGCCTGGACATCCTGCCTCATTGACATCATCCCTTGTGGTTTCCCTCCATATACCATCCTGCGTCGCGGCTCCACACTGTCGAGCAGAGACACGGAAGCTGGTGACAAGGATATCCCAGCCACATCATCTATCTCTAACTCCCTGCCAGGTGTCAAGGGGACCTGAGTTTCTTCCTCCTCGGCCTCCTTCTTCTGCGGTTCCCTCGGTGGCTTATCAACACTCTTAGCTTCCGTTCCCATCCCCTTTCCTCCCGAGGGGGCAGCAAAAAGACTCGTCTCTTCTTCAGGTTCACCTGACCTCATTGCTCGTTTCTCTTCCTTCTTCCGGCCCTCCTTCACGTCTGCCTGAGCGCCTCCATCACTTAAGGTGGTTTCTCCTCCCTTCAGTGATGTCAAAGGAGCTCTACCCCTTTCCTTCCATATGGTTTCCTCATCTCTACTGGTGTCCCACTCGCCCATCCCGCACTGGGAACAGGGTCGACGGGATAGACTGTCCGCGTTCTGATGAGCTTTCCCCGCTCGATGGATGACTTCGAAATCATACTCCCCGATTAACTGTAGCCATCGTGCTACTTGGCCTGCAGGCTCCCTGAAGTTAATGAGCCACCTTAAGGCTCCATGGTCTGTCCTCACTGTGATTCTTCGTCCATAGATATACGGTCGGAAGTGCCTTAAGAACGTCACCACCGCCAGCAATTCTCTCCTGGTGACGCAGTAATTTTGTTCTGCCTTTTTCAACACTTTACTAGCAAAGGCTATGACCCTCTCCTAGCCATCCTTTCTCTGTGCTAGGACCCCTCCTATCCCTGCGTCACTGGCATCTGTGTCAAGTATCAGCTCTCCATCTGGTTCCGGGTAAGTGAGGACAGGCGACTCCGTGAGGCGCCTCTTCAATTCCTCGAAGGATGCCTGACATTCATTGGTCCACTGGAAATCCCTGTGTTTTTCCGTAAGCCTGTGCAAAGGCTTCGCCACCGCTGAAAACCCCTCTATAAACCTCCTGTAGTAGGACGCTAGTCCTACAAAACTGCGAACTTCCTTTACTGTCTTGGGGACTGGCCAATCCCTGACCACCTTGATCTTATCAGGATCCGTGCTAATGCCCTCCGGAGTTACTACATGACCGAGGTAGCGAACTTTCTGTTTGAACAGATCACACTTAGCAGGCTTTAACTTTAATCCTGCGTCTCTCAAGCGCTGCAACACGACCTTCAGTCGACTGAGTTCCTCCAGTATAGTCTTGCCGAACACTATAACATCGTCCAGATACACTAAAAGTGTTTCCCAGTGAAGGCCACTTAATACTCGTTCCATAAGTCTCTCAAACGTCGAAGGCGCGTTGCTTAGCCCGAAAGGCATCACACGCCAACTGTAAAGGCCGCCCCTTACTACAAAGGCCGATTTCTCCTGTGCCTCCTCATCCAGGGCCACCTGCCAGTAGCCAGATGCGAGATCCAGCGTAGAAAACCACTGGGCCCCAGAAAGCGCATCAAGGGAATCATCAATCCTGGGGATTGGGTAGGCATCCTTGATCGTTATGGAATTAAGTCTCCGATAGTCAACGCAGAACCGCTTGCTTCCGTCCTTCTTTTTGACGAGCACTACGTTTGAAGCCCACGGGCTACTTGAGGGTACAATCCTTCCGTCCTTAAGCAAGTCCTGGACTTGCCGATTAATTTCCTCCTGTTCGACTGCAGGAAATCTCCTGGGTCTCTCTCGCATAGGCCTTTTTCCCTCTGTCTTTATATGGTGTTTTACGCATTCCGTGCGTCCAATATCCTCACTACCCTTCGAGAATACATCCTGAAACTCGGTAAGTAATCCTGCCACCTCCGCATGATACTCGGACTTCACTCCCTCGATGCTCCGGTTGAACAGGTCCTGCAGATGTTCAGGCAACCGGTCAGGTCGTCCTCCTTGTATGGGTTGATGTGGTTGCACGTCCTCTTCCGCCACCTGACTAAGCAAACCAGCCATACTGCCGGCCTTAACAACACATACTCTCCTTCCTGGGTTGAAAACCCTTATTGGCAAATTATCTTCCTCGGGCTTTACCAAAAGCCTAGCAACAATCAGCCCCTTAGCCGTCAACTCTGTACTCTCCGCAGGTTCCATTATCCCGAGCCCAGTGAACTTCCGAGTCACTCTCCCTGATACAAGTGCTTCGTGCCCTGGTGGCACTGATATGGTCTCTCCTACGACCACCCGGGCACAGAAATTATTGCCCTGTTTATTCACACACTTAATCTTTTGTCCATTCAGGGCAAGGACCAACTCCTGACAATCTAACCGTCCCCTTGTCGGTAGGAGGTAGTCCATCCCAAGGATTCCATCCATCTCCAATTTGGCAAAGATCGCCCGCACTGGGGAGGTAGTCTTCCCAACTTGAACCTCTAACCACGCTCCACCTATCGTCTCTATGGAGTGACCGTCAGCTCCATACAGTCCTACTCCCTCCGTGCTCAATGTTGGCCTCTGTTCCTTCGGTATCTTGTAGTATACCGCCGTCGAAATTATTGTGTCTGTCGCCCCTGTATCTATTAACATAAGTGTCTCTGCTCCCCTCACACGTGCACTCACATAAAGTCCTCCCTTCCTTTGGTCCCTTGAGGGAAGTGTAATCCCCTGAGGTATTCCTCCTATTGTTTGTGGTCCTTTCGAATCGTCAGCCCACCCTTGGACCCCAGGGAAGGCTGTTTGTCGTTTCCCGACTCTACGTTTTGTTCACGTTTGGGTGCTTTACAGTCCCGTGCAATATGTCCCTTTTCCTTGCAACTGTAACACTTGTCGTTCTTTGGTGCAGGACAGTTCCTAGCAAAATGTCCCGAGGCTTTGCAGTTGTAACACACGTCCTGTGTTCTGCCTTTCCATCCCTTTCCAGATCTCGGTCCAGAATCATAACCCACTTGTTTCTCCTGGCTACCCTTACTGATATCCTGTAGCATCGACTGGATTTTTCCAAAGGCTTGTCCCATGGACTCCTGTGTTTCTCTTATCTCTCCCTTCAGTTCCTTCATCGTAATTTCGTCCTTGCCTTCTAGTACTCTAGCAAACTTCCTAGCCTTATCGCTAGTCCTACGATCCTCTGTCTGCAGGAAACTCTGTGTTTGCAACGCCGCCTTGATCGAATCATCAAGGGTGGCAGGCTTTGAACGGAAAATACCCTCCCTGATTTCTCTGACTTTCACGGCGTCCATGAAATGTCCCTTCGCCAGTCTCTCTCTACTCTTGTCTGAGAACTCCGGGTACGCCAATGCTGCAAGTTCTCTCACACTGGCTCCGAGCTCTTGCAGGGTTTCAGTCTTGCCCTGACGACGATGACGAAGCTCCATTAGATGGAAATCTGCCTGTTGTCCTGGTCCAAAACGTTGATCTAGTCTGTCCAAAAGATCCTTAAGTGAAAGTTCCTTCCCCTCTGGTTGGCATCCCAGCACCTTCAACGCCTGTCCCTGAAGGCTGGCCGCTAAGAATACAGCAGCCTGGCTGTCCTTCCATCCATTTGCTACGCAACAAGCTTGAAAATGTGCCTTATAGTCCTTCCATGGCACTTTTCCACTGAACCGGTCAGGACAAATGTTCGGTTTCCTAATTCTGTCCTCACTTTTCTTAGTTTCCTTCGCGGTTACCAAGGATGTCTCCTCCGTTTGTCTAGTGTTTGCAGGTGTGCCTGGTATCCCTAGTATTGAACTAAAAGTGCTTGAGACAGCAGGAGTTGGGGTGAACAGTTCCGGTGTTTCAGTCCGGCTTATTTCCTTATCCTCGATGATTGATTTCATTTTCTGTACTTGTTCCTCAAGTTCCCGTTTTTCCTTGAGTGCATCCTCGTACATGTTTTCGGCCTGGTGTGCCTCCATCCTCAGAACATCCAGCTCCTCCTCCATCCATTTAGAATCCATCACTGCAGATGCAGTCTCCTGAAAGTGTCACGCCTTATCCCACTTCTGACACCAATGTGGCGAATCCCGTCCGGGTCAAGTTTGACTCGGTACTGCACAGGCGAGCGGCAGCCCTACAGCACTGTGGGGGAGGTCGTTTGGCAACCATATATCGCCGCGCGCAACACTTTTTCCCGGGGACCCTATGGAGCGGAGATAAATACCAGGCAGAGCAGCGCAGGAACCCAATAATCTGACAAAGAGAGATCACTCAAGAGCCGCGGGGTTTTCCCTTTATTATAACTAAGACGCCTTAATCACTTCAGTTAAGTTGCAGATTCCTTAAGGGATTGCTGTTCCTTAAGGTATAGCCTTGAGGTTCCTTAAGGGTTTCCTGTATCCTTAAGGGATATAATCGAGTTTCCTACTGAGCCTTAGAATTACTGATAGAGAGGTTTATTACTGAAGGCACTTAATAGAAATTATTACTGAATGTGATAACTTGTGGGGAGGTTCAACAATATCGGTCCTGAACTGTGCTCGTCACTAACTTTATCAAATACGTCAGCTTGACATACCCCGCACTATGAGCTGCTGCAACTAGATTCGGCAAACCGCCGCCGCCACGGACTCTCTGACACGGCTCCAACAGTCCCGCTGTCTCGGACACTCCGATCAGCCTCTCTCACGCTGCTCTGGGATCCGGCGGTCGGTCGCTATACCGCTCCGCCTCGCTGCTACCAGCTCCCACTACACACCAACAGCAACGCTGACGCACACAAGCCTAGCGCCCTACAACAACTCTCTTAGAGCTCCGCCGTCACACGTCTCTTCAGTCCGCTAGCTCCACAGCCACTCCCGCCACGTACACACACGAGGCACAGCGCGCGCAAACAGCTCAAGGTCACCTAAGCAGCCCACTGCGCATGCTCAGCAAGTATGGCACGCCTCAGCGCTATGACGCGCGAAAGCTACAAGCACTCAGGCCAATTTCGTTACAATACCAACCGTGTGCAACGTTAGTTGCCTCCGACCCGGAAGGTGTGTGTCAACTCAAAAACCAATAACAATCACAATTCTTGCCGCGACAATGCCAGTTGCGGGGCCGGCACTGGAGCACACGGCAGCACATACACACATACCTGATCTTCGGTTGTGGGGTCATTATTTTTTTTATTTGATTGGTTTTTTTTTAAATTAATAAACGATTATTTTATGCTGATTCTTTAATTTTTTTCGTAGTTGATATTTAAATTAGGCCTACGCATTTTTAATCGTTGCAGGGTAAAGGCTATATAGTCTGTGTAATAGACCACGGCGAATGCAAGACCCCGCCTCTTGACCTCCTAGATTTTGACCAATCAGTGAGCGCTTTCTATATCGGGTCTTCGGTCATTCACCCGTTGCGCGTCATATCTTCAAGTGTCACGCGCTCTATAAAAAAATAGTGACACGCGCTCTGTATCATGTTACGCGATACCGCGCCCGGATGTTGTTGTTTTACAAAACACAGCATTCGAATTGAACAATCAAACCGTTTAGTCCAGATTTAGGAATGCAATGAAGTCACGATTTAGTAAAATCGACTCCGATTGGCTGGCGCACGGCTTGCATTATCTGCATGTCAAGACATATCAGATGTTATACAGGAGACCTGGCTCCGTGGATAACGGGTGATACACAGACTATAGGTAAAGGCACAGACCCATCTTCTACAGCGCTAATTAGAAAAATACATTTTCTTCACAGCAAATTGGCTTGCCAGACATTAGTTTAATCTACGAAACAATAATTGAAATGAAGACTAATTATTTTTAAAAGTTATCCACAACCCAACGGGCAAAAGCCATTAGTCATTTTCACTACACTCTAAAAACTGCATGTGTTTAGCAATTAAACGCAATCACTTTGTATTAGAATGTTTGGAAGCTTAACATTACGTGTGCAATTCCTACACATCAATATTCAATTGCCAACACTATCCATCCTTAGGCCTAACCGATGTTTAGTATTTAAACATGTTTACAAAGTGTTAGCAAGAAAGTGTTTAAAAAAAGTATTTAATTGCTGTGTATGATGTACAAAATTGGTTGGTAAAAAGAGAGTATGCTAATGAACTGATAATAATTATGCATACCTTAAGTTGAGTGACCTTAGCTCAATTCGGAACAATTTGTACAAGAATTATCATCATGTGGGAGTCTTCCAGAACGAAGCACGCAAGAACCGCATCGCATTTTGTCATATACATGTACATCGAAATGTAATTTGCCATTGTACATCGACAACACACTGAATAACTTACAAGATATAAACTTACACGATGTTTAATGCTTTATTGTCAAGTATTAAAAACAGTGAAATGCACACAAGCAGGGTTCGACTTTAAATAGCGTAGCCCGCTAGCCAAATGCTTATGTAGCCCTGCTGGCGAGTCAAACATTACTGGGATACGGCAAAGATGAAAGGACAAGAAGAAATATATCTTTATATTCAGAAAGCAAACATGTATCAGTTTGTGTCTTATTAGTTTGAATTATAAGATCTGTTTGTTAAAACCCATGCAAAGATTACCTCAGGATACACGTTTTATATGTATGCACATTGTTGTGTATGAGAAATTCTATAAAAGAAAAACATGCGGACTAAGTGTAAATGTCCGCGGGCTAGTTAAGAGTCCGTTCAGTAGTCCGACTGGCTAGTGAAAAATAAAGTTAAGGTCGAACCCTGAGACAAGTAGTTCACAATTGCCTACGCCCGCCAAATAGCGATTTGAATGCAAATTGATATCCGGGATAAGAGCGTTTTGAGGGCCGTAAACTTGAGGGTTTAAAAAAAAAGTGGAAGCCCGTGCAGAGAACTACGAAATCGTATCAGTGAAATGTGGATGAAAGAAGGCCCTAAAAATGAGCGTATATAGGCGTCCTTTTTCGAAATGGCAATGGGCTCTAGGCCTGCTTGTTGGGGTGATCATCTTTGGACGAAATTCTCTACCAATTATCGTTGGACAACCCCTCATAAAATTGAACAGAAATTGAAAGATGATAATTGGGAATAGAGTATGCAAATTACGAAAATGCTCACCGTTAAAAGTCAATAAAATATACTTTATCCCATGTTGTTTTTGTACGTGCAAAATGGAGCAAACGAAACATTTTAACAATATTTTTCAAATTGGGTACCTTTCTTTTTGACGCACCCTGTATAGATGCTTCCTGTTTTTTCTTTGCATTATAGTTTTTATTTTGAAAAAAATACGATGCTCCCCTCACCGACTTGGTTTCTGTGAATTGTGTAATTAGAAAAACGGTGTCCTCGGGCCCCTCACCCATATAACTTCCACGTTTTTATATAATTTTAATATACATGTATATGTTCTCAATAATCAGGGTTTGTTTGTACTTTGATATTTACATCTTTTTCATACACATTTTAATATCACTTTAGTTTTCAAAAAAGGCCTAATCCAATTTTAATGCCACTATCCTCTCACGATGTTTAAGGTAAATTCTGAGTATTTTTTTTTTTAAATCCGATCAACGTTTTAATAATATATAATTCACGGTTTAAATTGTACTTCTGTAACGAGCCTTTCTTTATTTATATGTATTATAAGTAATGTTAAACGTATTGTAAGCCGGTCTCATCAACCACATATTTTGTGGCTCAGTGGCTGCCACATGGTGTTTTTTTTTAATAAACCAGAATAATAATAATACTAATAACAATAAGTTGTAATTAATAATGATGTATTCATCAGATAAATTTGCGTCGGGGTGATGTAAATGTAAATCAACGTCAGGTGTCCTTTACCGACGTATAAACACTGAATACTCAGTGTCACATCCGGAGTGAAAGTTGGAAAAAAATCACCCGCGTGGGACTCGAAACCACGACCTCCTGCTTTCTAGTGCAGACGTTTTACCACTCGACCATCGAGCTTGCAGGATCGGTTGGCTGGATCGAATCTGATGTACAATGTACAGCGGGTACCGCGATTAAACTATTCATCAGATGAATTTCGTCGGGGTAATGCAAATTAATATTAGGTTTTGCCCTTCACTAAACACTGTTGACGTCACAGCCCCCTCTTGTTTCCGGAGTGACCTTTTGTGACCGGAGTGCTCGCCTTAGTTGTTCGAGCAGCCGAGTCAGATTTCTTGGCCTCTGTCCTGCGCAGTCGTTGCCTCCACATTGCCCTCACGCGAGCATTGCACGCATACACTACGAAAATGATGACGCCCTGTGCTGAGTTGGTGATGGCGAAAAGGAACCACAGAGGGCGGTATGACGTGACTTGGGCGAGGCATCCGAGGATCCAAGTGAAGCCCATCACGCAAGAAATCTGGATAAAATAGCCAAAAAGCATGTCGGTGTCTAGTCTACTCCACAACGTTATCAAATTGTATGACTATAATTTACTGCAAACAGCCTAATTTACTGCCTTTCCAATATAAAAGGGAAGATAAACCTTACCTTCAGATAAATTACTAACTCGGTGGAAGCCCTCTGAGATTTAGATCTGTCTTGATGTACCATGGAGGCTGCCTTCAGGGTCTTATGAACACCCCAGACAGTAGTTGCGAAGAGTACTCCATTCAGGATAACGGAAGACATCATCGGGACCCCAAAGCTAGCAGCACCGCAAACCGACCAATAATCCAGCAGGCTTTGTCGCTGCCGTATCGGTACCCCAGACCCATACAGTCACCACACAGATGGAGGCAAAGAAAACACTGACGACCAAGACAGGGGCACTCCAACCGTAGACAGAGTAAAGGAAGAAGCGCTTCATCTTGGAGGCTCCCAAGGAGGGACGATTGGACGCGAAGGTTTTCTTAGGTCCCAGGCTAGCACCGTCTGCCAGGTAAAAGTGGACAGCCAGAGGTAATGCAAGACAACAGCAATGGTCACGCAGACCGAGCTGTTTAGAGTAGAACCAAGGGCTGTCACGGACAGGAGCTGAGCGACGAACAAGGCAGCGCAGAGACTCATGATGGCTGCACCGGGAACGTTCCTCAGCTCCGAGAACGTCAAGTAGGTAGCAAAAGTGGCCACGAGAGCTGCCATAGAAATTACAAACCCAGGAAGTTGACCAAAGTGAGGGGCTCTGATAGATTGATGTACGGGCCATCTTCTTTGAACACATCCGAGCAAATGAGAATGAGCCCATCAGGCAAGGACACGAACTCCCCTTCGAGGAACTCTCGACCTGCGTATGAGAGATACACGGTTCCATCTCGCACAATAACCAATGTATCATTCACCGGAGGGAAGCGACAAGTCAGTTGTTCCAGTTCCCGACCACAAACCCTCACTTCTGTTTCATTGAAGAACCTGCCAGCATCGGTGTTCCGGTACACGTGCACGTGGGAAAGATAGTAGGGTTCAACAATGACACCATTTCCCAAATACAGAACCGAAACGTTGCTGATTGAAATGTTGCTTACAACTTCTGCGTCTTTGGTACTAAACCACTGGTGGTGACATGTTCTCACATTGGTAACATTTGCAATAGTGCAAACCTCTGCCAGTTCGACCACCTCCAAGTTGCATTTATCAACCCACGTGTCCTGGACCGACTCGTCCGACGTTTCTTCTACAGTTAACAAGCCGTGAAGGAGCGCTTTTGTGTCTGAGAAATTACCAAGGGATGTTGAGCGCAGGGTACCATCTCCTGTTGGGAATTCTTCTGCGTCACGGCGAGCAACTGTGATATGAAAGGCAGTGTCAGTGGGACGCTTTGCCAAGCCATCCTCGTATCAAACAACTAGCGGCCTCGTACGCTCTCATGGGGAGACTGTCTTTCGGATCGATCGCGAGATTAGATTGAGAGGGTTTCGGTACAATGGTCAGGTGGTATTCTTTACGCAGGCAACAAACTGAGTCCCCAAGGTGAATTTCTAGCGACGGCGAAGGAAACCAAGCGTCTGAATCCCGGCCTAAGATAATCTCAAGACTTGCAGGAGCGACAATCCCGTACTCTCGGTAGCAGTAGTCGAGACTCGTGAGGTCTTCTCCGTTACAAAGGGCGCAGTGGGGATTCTTGTACCAAGATTCGTTGATGGTGAGGCTCGCGGAATAACCAGCGCAACCCTCCCAAAGCTCAGTTGATCCATTATAGCCACTCGGGCAAGCACCTATTAGTGGCGGAGTCCAGTAAGGAGGTACCGTCGTGTTCTTGTATGTCTCGTAGTCAACCATGTTAGCTGATGTTGTGTTGATGTAGTGCACTGGGCACATTCCCTGTTTCTGAAAAGAGGTGGATGGGATGATTCATCTGGTACATGGTACACCAGGTCGACGGGGGAATCCCCTTCACATCTGTTCCTGACATCATCGTCAGCCCAATCCCACCCGCACCTCTGGATTATATATTCGCGTTGGTTGGCAGACGAGACCCGACAGGCCAAGGGGAAATTGGGCGGATAAGGCAGTGCGCCATCTGGAGCGCATATCGAAGTGTAATCGGGACAACAGTCGTTGCAAAGCGTGCATGCGGAATCACATCCACACAAACCAGCTACTTCTGTGTCCCGCAACGCTGGTTGCATGTCTGCTGAGGGCAAGGGTAAACTCGTTCGCCATAAAGTTCCACACCTAGAAAAAAACAAATGAAGTGACACTCATCAGAGACCATAGAGCATTCAGTAACCTTGTTAACAGCATGCATGCATTTTCTCTCTATTCACCATGTACTATTCTGCTTCACGTTGTCTATGCATGTATACGCATTAATTAAGGTACTGGAAGATAATGGGGAAACAACGTTAACATTTTGTTACGTGTTCGGTCGGAGGAACATTTAAGAGATCAAACATGTTCCATTTACTCATTTAAGGTTACTCACATACTGAAAAAAATACATCACGGCTAAAGTGCAGAATCAAAACAAATTACCTGTTGCGCACGTCACTCGCAGACCCGGATAGCCGTGCTGTTCACATACATTTTCCGTCCGCACCCATTTCCAATTGAAAAGGTCTTCAGTTTCTGGCCTGGAACCATCAACCTCCCTTGATGACGCGGCGTCGCAGCAGCTCTGCACCCCTGGTGTCATTCCAGTCAGCTCGATAGAGGACCCGTACGTCCGCCAGGGCGACCGACTCGGTGTCATATGACCACGGAAACTCTTTGTGAACAAAAGAATAACGGCTTCAAATCAGGCAGGTTCGAAAAGTTGTAAGAAAGTTAGGTATCTTCGTTTATTCTTACTCGGTTTACCATGGTCGTCTTGTCCGAATCACGCGCGTTTGTTTAAGGTGTAAATCGAAGACACACACGTGCAACATCATCGGTGAATTGAGCTCAGAAACTGAATCGAGGACTCCTCGGTTGGAAAACGTGAACAAAACAATGAGAGCCGTTGCGTAAAAGCTAGGGTACAAACAAAGGAAAAGGGAAGAGGATCAAAAGAAAATCCTCGATTTCAACAATAAACAAACGTGCTGGAGCAAGCCGAGACATTGGTTAGAGAGGATGACATAACTGCATGCACAATCATGGTGTATTCTCAATTTTCACACAAGTTGTGCTAACCACCATGCAAAGCATCAAATCACTCTCACGTACCTAGCTGTTTACAAATGAGGTCTCCGAGTCTCGCAACAGGCTCGTCCACGATGAAAAAAAAAAGATTCTCATTGCAAAGCGTGCGCCAGCCGTCGTCCGCCAGCGTTGTGTCCCGGACCTGTACCAGACCAGAGTGATTGTCGGCACTGCCCACCAGTCGGAACTCAAGCACGTCCTCGTTTGGGACCACGTCAGATTCTGAACAGTTTGAAAAGGTTGAGAGCAAGTATACTATAGTCGAGTCTACCACACAGATTCCTCACAATTCCATCACGACTCAATCTTGAGTCATCCAGTCCCGAGTAGGAGTCAATTCGCAAATGATCTGACAAATACATGCCTCATTCGCTGGTGCATGCATTGTGACCGGACTTCCCAGGTTTTTTTGTGTGGAATCGATACAACGCTGGTTATGACAAAACAATCTTCTGACGAAGTTGAAGACCAGAGGAACCAATTCGGGCGATTCACAATGCAGTGCGCCGCCAAAAGTTTGCCATGGAGAGTAAATTTTTCCCATTGCATTGTGGGAGATGGTCGACAAATTCGCAGCGCGGGACGTTTTAAAATGTTACTTTTTCCGCTCAGTAGTTTCCTAGCGTATGATTCGAGAATATGTTTGCCCTTTTCTTTTCCTTTTATTATATGGTGTTTTTTTGTAAGGTGGGAGAATGGTATGCTCCAATCTATAAAGAATTAGCTCAAGTTGTCTACTGACACTCATTCAAATGGGCCGTGTTTTGTCGACCGTAGACTTGAGAAATGGACTCTTCATGGCAAACTTTTGGTGGCGCACTGCATTGTGAATCGCCCGAATTGATTCCAAGATATTCACTTAACATGTGAA